TTGTACAGCACCGGGTGGGCTGCAGTGATTTTCCTTTTTGTGTGATTTTCTTTTGGTCCACGGCTGCTGGTAAGTCAAAGTTCCCTGATTGTTTTATTTTCACTTTAGGACACTGTCAACAATGACGCTACATCTTGGGTTTTAATATTTTATTTATTTTTACTATAAATAAAACTGTTTTAATATTGGAGCCAACCTGCCTCAGTGTGCATCCTTGAATCTGTGCGACCTCCTTTTATTCTTTTTATCTATTTTTCTTAAATATATTTCCTAGGGGTGAAATTCCCCTAGGTGGCGTTGTCATTTTATTATTTTTTTTTTATCTAACCCCGCCGACCACTTGGTCACATTAGCAACTGTCAGTAACATTTATATTAATCAGGCTGAACTTTAATCATACTTTAGATCAGCCTGTTTTACTTATTGTTTTATTTGTGCTTTGGGTTGGGGAAGTTGTTTCTTTACTGCTCTTTTCCTGTCTTCTGTTATTAGACTTGAGATGACTGCACTATGCTGTTGCTGTTGAGTCCAGTTAATTCTACAAGACATGCTGTGTAAGTAAACAAACAACAGTTTGGTCAGCATTTCTTGAAAGATCACATCCCCCAAACTTAGTTTTGAGGGTCTACACTGTATATAGTGAAGTCTGCAAGTTTTCCAACAGCAACATGTGTTTTGTGGAGTCTGTTCTATACCAAATGCAGAAAAAAATGTTTTAAGAAAGCAATTAAGTTTGTTTTCCAAAAAATATGATTGTTTGCTTGCAGGACACCAGGAGAGATGAGTCCTCCATCACAGATGGTGTGGTCAGTGAAGATGGTTGCCTGCAGGTTCAAGTTCATTGCATCTCCAACCCACATCCACTGCCACTGTACTTAAGGGAAGTTAAAGACTTTCTTCTGCACTTACATTTGGATCATCTAAGTCCATGGTAGTCATTCAGGCAGTAATGCCTGGACTGAAAAGAAGCCATCCTTAAAATATTACAACATTCAAGCTCCTGTGTTGGAATGAAAAACAAATGTGGTGTTTAAATTAGAGACTGCACTTGTGACAGAACAATAAATATTTTATTTTGATTATATAAGTAATGTAAGTACAAAACAAAGTTGTGGTAGCCCTAAACTTATTTTCACAATAATTAAATCTGTGACTCTGTTTCATTGTAAGATTATAACAGTGATATAATTGTTTGTTGTTCAAGAGAACAGTGTCAAGCATGTTGGCTGTTATACTTTTTTGCATTTGAAAATAAAAGTTGGGCTGATTTTAACATCATTACAAAAGGTGTTGTTAATAATTTTTTAATCATATTCAGGTTACCACAAATTGTTGTTTTCATTTAGTTGAACTTGAAATGTTTGTCAATAGGTAAACAATTAGTATTGTCAGAAATACCAAGTTATTCTTAATACTGCAGACTTGCAATGAATAAGATGACTGTTAGGACAACTTAAGTAAGCTTTACTTAGGTTTGTCTAGGTTGGCTTTATAATTGAGAATAAAGTAAT